ACAAAGATGCTTTAAAAGGGTTGCTGGATGAGGCTCTGACCAATAAAATACTATCGCTTTACACATCCATCGAGCATCAATATGGCATGTTTGCCATCGAACACTTTTTGGACAAAAGTGACATACCTCCCATTCAAGTAGCTTTCCTACAAAAAGCCATCCATTATACCCTCACACATAATTATTTCTCCTTTCAAGGGAACTTCTACAGACAAATTAGAGGCACGGCTATGGGAGCTAGATTTGCCCCTAGCTATGCCAACCTCTTCATGGGGTATTGGGAGGAGGAATCAATATGAAACAACAACCCATATCGGGGCAATCTGGCCCTGTATGCCAGATATATAGACAATATCTTAATCATCTGGCAAGGGTCAGACAAGGATCTGGATGGGTTTCTTGCACACTGCCAAAATAACCCTTTTGGAATCGGCTTCACACATGTGGTGGATGCCAACAGTCTGGTATTCCTAGATCTTGAATTACGAACAGACTCTGATGGCAACATCTGCTCTAAAACGCATTTTAAGCCTAGCGCAGGCAATTCTTATTTGCACGCTAGTAGCCATCACCACCCCAAATGGATCCGTAATGTCCCTTTTGGTCAGTATTGCAGGTTGAGGAGAACATGCACCACCAGAGGTGACTATGAGGAACAGAGAGCCATCTTGAGGACCAAGTTCCTAGAAAAAGTCTACAGTGAGGTCCACATCGAGGAAGCATACCAGAAGTATTGGGGCCAATATGAAGAGAGTCCACTGCATATACCACACACAGCTGCCAAGAAAGCCACTAAAGACCCCAACAATAGATTTAATAACCAGGTCAGGTTTTGCACCAGATTCAATACTAAAGCCTTCGACATACAGCGAAGCATTCAAAAGCATTGGAAAATTCTTAAGCAGGACCCAGTCCTTGGTCAGAGCCTTGCCCCCAGACCCGAAATTGTGTTCAGGAAACCTAGGGATCTCAGGAGTCACATAGCACCCAGTAGAATTAAGAAGCCTCTTGCTGGTGCCAGTAATACGGTCATTCACTGACCCCCCGTTATGCATGGGTACCTTCTGCTGAGCTGTACATGTTCCCCAGAGTCCTACTCTCATCCTTTTTGTCTCTCTCCCAAACCCCCTCCTCCTCTTTTTTTTTTTTTTCCTCCCCCCCCCCCCCCTCTTTTAGTACTAGTTCCATCATTTCCCTTGTAACCTATAGTGGCTATACCATCCACTACAGATGTATGCTTTAAATATATAAATTTTTATCAGCTATGATTACTTTAGTATCATCAGTATAGCTACCATTACCCTGCATCCTTACACATGAGGTTGCTCACTTAACATTTATTATGTCACCCTTAGGCGCATGCGTTCGACCGCATTCCAGGCGCCTGTGTCTATGGGTCATTCATTGGTCACCTATTTTTTCATTCAGTTTACATATATGTGTGTGTATGTTTATGTATGTATGCATATACATGTTTTTTTTACAAGAAAGCAGTTACTCATATGGACGTGTTACACACACATGTGCACACGCATTTGGTCCAGTGAGCTCTCTCCGAGCACTGCTTTCTCGTCATGCAAGTGCTTGTTCCATAACACCTTTGACAGCTTCGTAGCGTCGTTCATCCATCCATCCATTAATATAAAGGCGAGCAGTGCAGTGCATCACCAGGGAAGGATTTTTAATATTTAATATATATGTGTAACTTTCTACTTATTTATTTTTCATTTGCACACTTCTGATGGTTCATATGATTTTATGATTGTCACTAGTTTCAATGGTTTTATTTATACATATATATTTATATATGTGTTTATAGATCTTTTGTGTTTACTTATACTATGTCAATTGCCCCTGTGACTCCTCCACCTGCATAGGGGAGTGTCTAGGACGGTCCATGTGACCTTTGGTTCAACTAGTAGTGAGCATATAAAAGAGGGAGCAGACATTTGGTCAGTTGGCTCTGAGGAAGAGGCAAGTCCTCAAAACGCGTCAGCCTATTGGATGTGTACACTCCTTATTGCAGGCTGTTACTCAGCGCGGTGTTGACCCAGCTGTTCTTTATGATGTGCATTGACTAGATTGTCATTTGTGAGTACAACACCTACTTTTTTTTTTAGTAAACATTTTTTATGGTAATGCACTAGGCCTGTGCGCCCTCTGTTTTTTCTTTCCTTATCCAGTTAAAGGAATGCCTGGGCTTAAAGGATTTACATATTTGTTATAGAATAGGGAAAACCTCCAGCGCTTCCACTACAATACTACGCTAACCCTATAGTCTAAGAAAGCAACAAGCACCCAGATATATACCAGATAGTGAATATGCAACAAAAAGGGGGGGGGGGTGCTGCACTAACAAATCTAATATACTAAGAAAGGTGGGAAAAATTAATGACCTACAGGGACCGTACCACATGTGAACTACAACTTGAACAGCACAAATACCACAAGTATCCTAACATATGTGAAGATACCATGAATAAAAGAGACAGAGACAGCCCCGTCCAGCAAAGAGAGACAGCCCCGTCCAGCAAACAAACGGGATGTCTCTTTGCTGGATGGCGATGTCCCTTCTTGGACTGGGATGTCTCTTTGCTGGACCCAACCGGCAAAGTGACAGCCCAATCCAGCAAAGAGACATCCCAACCAGCAAACAGACAGCTCATCCAGCAGAGACATCCTGCCCAGAAAAGAGACAGCTAAACTAGCAAAAGACCAGTCAACCAGCAAAGAGACAGCCCATCCAGCAAAGAGACAGCCCATCCAGCAAAGAGACAGCCCAATCCACCACCACAGTGTGCCAGTCGGTGAAGGAGAGAGGCCGCTATTGTCCCTTCAGTGCGGCTGTGTGTGATGCGGCCGGCCGGGGAGGTGTCTCTGTATCCTTGGCGGCACTTCCTGCTTGTCACTGGAGCCGTCACTGCTGCTCCTCCGGTCAGCTCTGCTTTAGGCATAGCTGCATAGCAGGCGGGGAGTGGCGGCTGTGGCCTGTGTTAGCCCTGTCAAGTCCACGATCACCGCTTACCTCCTGCTGTGCGGCCCGGTCATCAACAGGCCACTCTTCTCAATCCTGCCAGCCCCAGCCCACCAGGCAAATGCACAGTGTGCCCTATGGCCAGTCCGGGCCTGAAACAGACCATTTACCACTGACAAAGGTGCTTGCAATGATCCCCTTTTATTTCTTTTGGTAAAATGTTTATCCTGAAAGGAACATTGTTGTTGTAAATGCTTATAAAGTATTAGCTGGAGTAAGGCTTCAGCTTGTTAGTGTAATTAAACTGCTAGTCCATCTAACATTCCCCTTCCCCCCAGACTGATAATTCTGCTATCCAAAGGAGCCCCCTGTGGGGCACTCTAATACAGGAGGTGTGTTAATAGCCAGATCACCAGGTGAAAACAGAGGGGAAAAGTCTAAAAAAAGAAAAAGAATGCAGCCACCACATCGAATGATTGGTAAGCTGCAATATTAAATTTTTGGGTTTACTTCCACTTTAATGGAAGGGGGTCATCCAAGTGTGGAATGAAGGAAGGTTCTGAAGTCAGAGGTGCTGGCTGTGAATAAAGGGGTTACCAGGTCGTGGATTTAAGGGGGTACCTGATTGTCAGATTTGGGGTGTTTGCTGTGGAGTGGTTGCCTGGATGAACAATGGGACTATGCTATTAGCAGCCATTTTCAGACAAAATCAGAAAGATGATGCTGCACAGAAGACCGGGATACATGGCTTCCAACACTTGGATGACCTTCATACACATACACATACATACATTTAAAAATCAAGGGAATCTGTATGTTTTCTGCTTGCTTTCTTTCCTGATATGTGAAAGATTTGTTTTAAGCCATTATTTGTGCTATTTTACTATTGCTATGGTTTTATCAGCTCTGCTTTTATACATTCATCTAATTTTATTAAGTAAGTAGCACTTTAAAACACAAGCACTAGCTCTTTGGCATTGTATCCGGAAATGAAGAAATACAGTCTGTCTGGTGCAATCGTTCCTGCCCACCAGCAACCCTAATGACCTGCTTTCTGCATCACTGCTGAGACAAAGGAGGGACAATTAGGAAGCATCTCTTCCTCCCTGTAGATGCCAGCTTTGTTCTGCTGTAGATTGCCCAGAGGTGGAATGGTGCTCAGTGGAATGGAACAGAATACTGCACAGGTGACTAGTCAGATTGTTATGTTCAAGCTGAACACCTGGTAGATATAAAAGACACAATTTAATGCAGCTCTGCAAAACTCATGCAAGTAGAACCATATAGAAACATAGGAGAATGACAGCAGAAAAAAAAAAAAAAAAAAAACGAAGATCAAGTGGTCCAAGTCCGCCCCAATTTTTTACACACACACACACACACACACTCTATATTGCCAAAAGTATTGGGACGCCTGTCTTTACACACACATGAACTTTAATGGCATCCCAGCTTTAGTCTGTAAGGTCCAATATTGAGTTAGCCCACCCTTTGCAGCTATAACAGCTTTAACTCTTCTGGGAAGCCACTCTAATTCAACCCCAAGGTGTTCTATCAGGTTGAGGTCAGCACTGTGCAGGCCAGTCAAGTTCCTCCATCCACTCATCCATGTCTTTATGGACCTTGCTTTGTGCACTGGTGCGCAGTCATGTTGGAACCGGAAGGGGCCATCCCCAAACTCTTCCCACAAAGTTGGGAGCATGAAATTGTCCAAAATGTCTTGGTATGCTGACCCCGTAAGAGTTCCCTTCACTGGAACTAAGGGGCCAAGCCCAACCCCTGAAAAACAACCCCACACCATAATCCCCCCTCCACCAACCTTTACATTTGGGCACAATGCAGTCAGGCAAGTATCGTTTTTCCTGGCAAACACCAAACCCAGACATGTCCATTGGATTGCCAGACAGAGAAGCGTGATTCGTCACTCCAGAGAACATGTCTCCACTGCTCTAGAGTCCAGTGGCGACGTGCATTACACCACTGCATCCGATACCTTGGTGAAGTAAGGCTTGGATGAAGCTGCTCGGCCATGGAAACCCATTCCATAAAGCTCTCTATGCACTGTTGTTATGCTAATCTGAAGGCCACACCATGTTTGGAGGTCTTTAGCTATTGACTCTGCAGACAGTTGGCGACTTCTGCACTTCAGCATGCGCTGACCCCGCTCTGTCATTTTACATGGCCTACTACTTGGTGGCTGAGTTGCTGTTGTTCCAGTTTCTTCCACTTTGTTATCATACCACTAACAGTTGACCGTGGAATATTTAGTAGCAAGAAAATCTCATGGATGGACTTATTGCACAGGTGGCAACCTATCATGGTACCACGCTTGAATTCACTGAGCTCCTGAGAGTGACCTATTCTTTTACAAATGTTTGTAGAAGCAGTCTGCATGTCTAGGTGCTTGGTTTTATACACCTGTGGCCATGGAAGTGATTGGAACACCCGAATCCAATGATTTGGTGGAGTGTCCCAATACTTTTGGCAATATAGTGTGTGTGTGTGTGTATGTGTATGTGTATATATATATGTATGTATATATATATATATATATATATGACACACAGGCAGTCCCCGAGTTACAACTATCCAACTCATACTTCATCAAGGACCTCACGCTGGTCCTGGAAGCTTCTGAGAGGCCGTCTTGCTGCTCACTGCATACTGCCACCTACTGTCCAGAGGTCCTGTCAGCAATCACTGCATGGCCAGTTAACCCTTCCCTATGCTATCCAAACTTTAAAAATATTTTTTGTAGGTTGGAATTACACTTAAAAATGTACCTGTTCCAGCTTACATACAAATTCAACTTAAGGACAAACCTACAGAACCTATCTTGTTGGGAACCTGGGGACTGCTTATTGGTCTTATCTGGGGACACTTTTCTGTCTGAGTATAGAGCTGTTTGTCCCACGCATGTGTGAATGCACACACTTTTGCCTGACTCACCACCTCTACTGGAAGTCTATTCCAAGTATCGACTACTCTTTAGGTAAAGTAATTCCATAAATATTTCCTGAAAATGTTCAATCGTACAGGGAAATTTAAAATAAAAACTTTAACATGAAAAATATCCTTTTACAATCCAATAAATGGCTGATGTTTATGATGAAGCTATTGGGGAAACATGCTCCTTTAGACTTTACCCCACTGAGCTTGAATTCCATTAGAACCTCTAATCTCCATCCTTAGTGGATAGAAGACTAATTGATTTGTGCATTGTGAAAGTTACCAAGTCTAAATTGAAGCAATTCTGTATCTGTGGGCTCCGGATTATATGTACGTGGCAGGGTGGCCCCCCTCCCTCTCATCAGTCGCATTTACTCAATTCTCGTCCAGTAACGCGATACATCTCTCAGGATCCCAAAGGATTATTGGAAATGAAAGCTGACAGTTCAGCACATGGGCGGCTCTGTGCAAGATGCTGTACAGACAGCCTGACATGTACTTCAATAATTCTGCAGATGTAGCTAATGGTGAGATGGGCAAGAAATGCTTTAAAAGGTCAGTCCACCTAAAACTGATATATCAGATTATGGTTGGTGTGGAAAACTTAAATCACAAAGCTGTTTCCTGTGTTCGTGATACTTTTTTATTTGCACTAACATCCACATTTTGTTTTACCAAAAGATTTTGTTAAGCATGTTAAAAGAAACATACAAACCATGACAAATCCTATGATACAAAAGAGACAACAAATAAAGGACAGGGAAACATCCCACAACAAACACAGAGATACACATACCAGACCCAAGCTGGGGTCCAGATAACACTATGGAAGGCAAAGGGCCGCAAGGCCTGCAACCACTGTCAGAAATATAAAATCTACATAGAAGGCAACAAAAAGAAAACACATACTGAGCTACACTCTCATGTGGCAATGTTGTCCCTGAGAATCATAGACCTGTAGAATGACAATAACAAACGATACACAATCGGCCTAATATAAAACAAGCCATATGAAAGAGGAGAGAAAGAAAAAAAAACAAAAAACAGAGAGAACAGGAAAATAAAAGAAAGAAAAAGAGACAAGCAAGCAAAGAAGAGGAGATTGCCTAGGGGGGGCGCGAGAGCCAGGAGACACGATCCCCACATAAGGGGAATGAAGAGGCAAAACCCAACGCAGTAAGTTTTGTGGTAAAATGAGGAACTGGCTGGTAATCTACCCACGGTTGCCAAACAGAGAGAAAACTTATCATGTTTATCCTCCAATACTGCCATCAATTTCTCGTTGATAAAGAAACCTTGTATTCTGGACCTGACCTCCTCAAATTGTAAAGTAGGGGGTTTCCAAGAAACGGCAGTAGTCTGCTTAGTGGCCATAAAAAAAATTGACCAATGAGCGTGGTCCACGAGGTAGGCCACAAAGTGGCTTAAAAAGTAAGGCCCTCAATAGGATCCTTTTTAAGGTTAATGGACATAATTGAAATAATCGGTGGGCCACTGGACAGGTCCACCAAATGTGGAGCATATAATCTGGTATAAATTTAGCTAATCGAGATGGGGTAAAATACCATCTTGAAATCAAGAGTAGCGGGAAACTCCTTGCCACATAGACCCCCAATCCTCAGTATAAATTTCCATCTGAAGCTACACATTCCATTGCGCAAAGTAAGCACATAAAAGTTCAGCCATATGATTCCGGATTGATAGATACATTTGAGATAGGGCACCTTTAGTGGAAGCCAATGCCTTACAAAGTGATTCAAAACTCGAAAAAGGTGCGAGGGGAATCCTGTCTGCGAATCAAAAAGATACAACAAAATGACGTAATTGCAAATAACGAAATAACTCAGAGGGAGGAATAGAATAACTCTCTCAAAGTTGCGCAAACGTATGTATGCCTCAACCCGTAATTAACGAATGAACCATCATAAAACCATGATTTATCCACCAACAAAAGACCATCTTATCAGAGTCCCCTGGGGGAAAAAGCAGACAATCGAATAATTGTAAAATAGGTAAATGCGGGGAAAGTAGATCCACCGAGTACTTACACGAGTCCCAAATTTTTAAGGTGTGAGTCAAGACAGGATTCATCAATTTAGGCCGTAAGGACGGAGGAAGCCAAGGCAAGGCTGAAGGCAGAAGGGGATGTGCATCCACAGTATCTATCAGTGCCCACAAGGGTAAGTCCTTTAGAGAAAAAAGCTGAATGAGGGGAGTAACTTGGGCCACAATATAGTAATTATGAACGTTCGGAAGACCAAGACCACTCTGAATACATGGGCGGTAAAGCAACTGCTTAGACAAACAAGGACGTCCCTAAGCCCATACAAAACATAAAATTTGGTGTTGCAAGATACGGAGTATATGGGGCGGAATCTGAACAGGGAGCAGCCGAAAAAAAGAATAAAGTAGCTTGGGAAGACAAGTCATTTTAAATGCTTGGGCCCTACCAAACCATGGGCTGCCAAGAAGAGAGCAACTGGGTTAGCTAAGTAAAGGAGGAATATGCGCCTGGTACAACAAATCATAAGAAGGTGTAAGTTTAACTCCCAAATAAGGAAGAGAGGAGGTCCATTGAAACAGAAATTGAGATTGAAGGTGTGTCATAAGCTGTTGGGGGAGGGAAACGTTCACAGCCACTGATTTAGTAGAATTTACATGCAAACCTGAGAGATGTGAACAGCAAGTGGTTCAAGGGCCATGATAAAAAGAAGAGGAGATGGGACAACCTTGACGTGTACCACCCTTAATTGGAAACTGAGAGGATTCAACCACATAAAGGACCGTAGCGGATGGAATACTGTAAAGTCTTTAAATCCACTGAAGAGAAAATAGTTTTTCCCTCCCCCCAACTCTGCAAGGCTTTCTGTAAATAAGCCCAGGAAAGAGTATCAAAGGCCTTGGTCATATCCAAGGCCATAAAACATAAGATCACGGGGACCGCATTCGAGCGAAATGACTAATTAAAATAGAGTGAATACTATCGGCCGCTTGGCGCCGAGGTATGAAACCCACTTGATCCTTATCAATTAAGGTAGGGTTTAACATGTTCAAGAGATTGGCCAAAGTCTTAGTCTGAATTTTCACGTCTAAATTGAGTAAAGAAATAGGGCGATAATTCGACCAAGATTGGTGATCCTTCCCTGGTTTAGGAATAATCATGATCTGGGCCTTTAGCATTTCCGAAGTCAGCTGACCATCTCGCTTAAGCTGATTGAATACCTGGGCCAAAACAGGAACTACAACATCGCTAACTTTTTTATAGAAGAGAGCTGTAAAACCATCTGGGCCAGCATGCGTATGCCCCTTCAAAGATTGCATCATCTGCCGAAGCTCATCCTGTGAATATCAGCGCCCAACATGTCCCTTTGATCGTTATATAGGGTAGAGGAGTCTCCCGAAGGAACGTGTCAATGACATCACCTGGGGCATCCCTCGAGCCAGCATAAAGTTTTGAAAGATGATGAGAGAACTCATCCACTATATGCCTGGGATTAGAGGTTTGTCCAAAAATTCTCCAGTATCAATCACCAGAAGCATCAATGTGTGACTCCTGTAATTATATAACTAAGCATCCATATTCAATATTGTTCCCAACCTCAGAACCTCCGTACCCAGATGCCGATCCAAATAAACCTCCATCATACCTCCAAAACAACCATATGGCAGCAACTGCTCTGTAGATGCGTCCTTCCCTGCTGGCACACAAAACACTCATCTATCATGGCGTTTCAATGATGTAATCAATCAGGGGCGGACCAAATGGTCCTGTGGGAAAAAAAATGCCCATTCCTCAGTCGGCACACATCGCACATGCACGCCTACGTCATCTCCTCACACAGAAGTGTGTGGGCGGAAGTGCCACTCGCATCTGAGAAGCAGCCATGACACCCATATATGCTAGATGTCAACCCCATAACTAACCATCGCATGCATATACACCATCCCCAACACAGTCCACAGGCCATCCAACAACCAGAATGCAAAAACGCAAAAAAAACCAGTCGCTTCTCGGCTTCCACCACCCTCAACTCCACCACCTTGGTGGGTCTAGGACCCAAAATCGGTCCAGTCCACCATATATTTATCCATAGCCGAGTATATAAGTTACATCTATTCCAAACCAATGGGCAAAGCCTTGTTAATTATATCAATCAGCTCACCCATATATAAATGGAATCTGTAGGTTGTCTATAACCCACACATAAGCCAAGGGTTCAAACATCCATCCAGACCAAACCGCTAATAGGTGTCTCCAACCCCATAGAACCCCCCTCCTTGACGTGTTACATAAATGTGGAGAATAATAAATGTAAAAATTAAAAATCAAATTTACATATAGATAAACATTAACTCCCCATAGCATCATTTTCGCAAAATCTATATGTGAGCTGATTGATATGATTAAGGCTTTGCCCATTGGTTTGGAATAGATGTAACTAAGA